GCAGGACAGTGGGGTGGGAGGAGGTATTGTTTCATATTCTCTGTGTGTATATAAAGTCTGCTGCAGTTTCCACGGTAAACATCTGATGAAGTGAGCTGTAGCTCACGAAAGCTCATGCTCAAATAAATTGGTTAGTCTCTAAGGTGCCACAAGTACTCCTTTTCTTTTTGCGAATACAGACTAACACGGCTGTTCCTCTGAAACCTGAATAACAGTGTTGTGGGAGGTGCTCCTGGGATCTCCAAATCCATTGTTTTGCTATTGCACACATAATGAAATGGTCATAATAGAGTTAACTGGGTTACCCAGAACGTTATGGAATGGAGCCACGTCCCACCCTTCCCTCGCTTCCTCTCAAGTTAGTAGGAGATTCTCCTGCTCTGGGATGCAGTTTGAGGTCCCAGCCTGAAGTCCTGTGAGTAGATTTATTTTTGTTGCATTGAGAGCTCCTTGTACAAAAGTCTTATTTCTAAAGATTAGAGAGCCCTGAGGAATAGCTGCAAGGCAGGAGCAGATGGAAAATAGCAGCTGGGCTCCAGTGTTTGGATTTCATAGGGCCTGCTAATTTTCTCAGACACAGGGACTAGTGGGACTATGCTGGGCATTGAAAGCTATTAGACCATGTTACATCATTGGTACATAGTGTATCAGTCTATTTATATAACACATGGAAGCCTTGGCTTCGGAAGGTGCTGTCAGTGTGGGAGTCCACTTATGACATTCTCCTTCGATCAGTTACTGATCCCATCCATTGCTAGGATAAACCACATTGATTGTGCCTTATTTACAGGTAAGGCTCCCAAATTAATTCATTTGCATAACTGAACTGACACCAGGATGGTATTGAATTCCAAAGAACAGTTTCTCCACAGGATAACAGACAGACTTCTGAGCCTGCTAACCTGCCACTGTGTGACACAAGCCATTGAAATGTGACAAAGACTGAAATGTGGAAAGTGTTTTGTTGCCATGCTCTGTGACAGTTTATACATGGTGTTTTAAGTATCAAGCCTGTTTCTAAGGATGCTCTCTCACTGTGAATCAAAGAAAAAATGGTTTTGCAATCAGACTAATTGATGTGTGGGTGCGGAACGAGAATATGACAGATGGAAAAACTGGTTTATTGGGTTGGCAATGGTATAATATTTCAAAGTGAAAGTTGCTCTTTTTTTCTATTCTCTTGTGATCTTATAGCTAAGAGTCATTTGTCCATGAAAATTCCTGCTCTACTAATATTCACCAGTATGAATGGTTTCCTTTTGTTTAATGCATCTGGATGTTGGTCAGCAGAAGTCTGGATGGAGCAGGAAATGCAAAATAAAGGAAGAGACAGGAGGTAGTCTAGCATGATTTCATTTTAATAGCAAAGAGTCGTGGAGGATACAGTTTTTGCAGCTAAACCAATGCACCTAAACCATGTCATGTATCTGCAGAGAGCCAGACAAGGTACAATAGGTATAAAGTCTTACGTGTAACCCTTCTGCCCGTCAGAGTTGGCAGCAACAAGGGCCGGGTTCAATATCTAGGGGATCCATTCTAATAACACAATGCAAAACCAGCTCGAGCCCCCACCCAGGGACCTGGGACAAATATATACCATCCTCGCTGGGCACCTCAAAGAGGCAATACTTCCCTTTCGCAAGCACAGAGTCTGAGTGTGGCAAAAAGCCTTTTAATAACAGAGAGAAACAATGTGGCATTATGTTGGGGAAACACCACCAACAGGATTCATAACACAACCCTTGAGCAAAAACCCACCCCAAGCAAATTGGGTCTTGTCCTTTCCCTTTGGTTCTTAAGTCCAGCAACCCGAAATCACCTAAAGTCCCAAAAGTCCAATGACCCAAAAGTCTCTGTCCCTAGCAGGGCAGCCCCAGAGTTCGAAAGTTGCTCTGCAGAGCTTTACCTCCCAACCTGGGTGGAGATCGGGGTGAGGGGGGAAGAGAGGTAAGGGACACCTTACATGATCTGAAGCTGACCGCCCCACAGCTCCATAGGGCTCCGCTCCGTTCCACCAGCTCCATGTCCCACAAGCAGCTCTCGCCGTCCCACGAACTGCTCCACCAGCCGGTCCACGAACTGCTCCGCTCCGCATCCCACAAGCAGCTCCCGCCGTCCTATGAACTGCTCCACCAGCCTGTCCACAAGGCACTCCAGCCATCCTGCAAACTGCTCCACAATATATCTTCAGGCTCCCCCACTACTTAACACAACGCTCAGTGATTTCAGCTCTTAATCAGTTCAGCTCTTTGGTGACTTCAGCTTGTAGTAGGGGAGCCTCAGTGCTGGTACACCATTAGCCCAAAGCGACCTCGAGCAGCCTGTAACTAGACTCCTAATAGAATCAAAATTAGCTCTGATATCCCACAGTGGAGAGAGAAGGAAGTGCAATTAACATGTAAGGCCTTCACCAAGGGGCCCATACCCCCAAGTGTTAATACTTGTCCCCAGCCTCTCTTCATTCACAGAGTTTTGGAACCCATGACCCTTGCCTAGCGAGTGCTACTTAGTTGATGGTGAGTCCCTCCATCATAACAAAAGGCCAAGTACAGTTCCAAGCACAGTTCCCATAATCAGAGTAATAACAATTTATTCTTAACCCAATAACAGAGACACTGGGGATCCCCCAGCAGCCAAAGTGACCATTTGGGCAGCTATGGCCTCATTCTAGGTGGGGTGGGTGTGCCTATGCAAATGAGATCAGCCCCTGAAGTTCTTTTCCACAACTTGCCACGCTTCACCACCAGATGTCAGGGGGGAGCTCATCCTGACTCTGCTTACACATGTTATAAGAATTTTCAGGAGACAGTTTTTCCTCCTTTCTTGCTGGAGAGTTTTTAAACTGCCTTCCTTTTGTCTTTGCACAGTCTCTGGGTTTAAGATGCAGAAGGTCATTGGAAGGCTAACGCATATGTTGAGAAACAAAGTCTCTCTTGCAGCATGCCATCAAGCAGCCAGAAACAAACTGTACTTGTTACTCAGTCACATACAGCATTAAAATCTGGATGAATGCATGGGGATGGAGAAGCTCTGGAAGCAGTTGCAGGGAAGAATCCTAAACCTAATACAAGGAGATGTCACAATTCATGAACCCCGGGCAGTGGGGCTTAGGCTTCAGCAGGTATTTTAGCTTTGTGGGGCCCCTGCTTGCCACCCCCTAATGCCAGCCCCGCACTTGCGACCCCCATAAACTCATCCTGTGAATCCCCTGGGTTGCCCCCCCTCCAGGTTGAGAAACACTGATATCGTATACAGAGCAGTATAAACAAGTCATTGTCTGTAAAAAGTTGTCGTTTGCACTGATGTCGCTAGTGCTTTTTATGCAGCCTGATGTAAAGCTAGGCAAAGATCTAGCGGCGGTGACGTACCCCTTAGAAGGCTGGTATGTGTACCCCTGGTTGAGAACCACTGCTCTAATCGATCGTTAGAGTCCTCCTAGCTGGGTCTGACCACAGAGACAGAGCCTAGAGTGTCCCCCGGTTAAGGAATGCTCATTACCTAGGCAACCGCAGTGGGTAGGCAGCTAGACACGGGAGCGCCCTGGCCGGTGTGGGAGACCTGGCAGGTGTGACTCTGGATTTACACCAGCACGCGCGAGAGGAGAATCAGGTCCCAGCTCTTGAAACTGGGCCCACATGGGACTTAGAGGCGCAGAATAATAATAATAATACCCAGCCCTCGCAGACTTGGCAACAGGTCCCCATTGTTGCAGTACTTGCCCACCCTCCCAACTCCCCGTGAGGCAGGGCTGTTATCCCTGTTGGGCAGACCCTAAAAGTCTGTCAGAGCCTGGGCTTGGACCCAGGTCTCCCAACCCCTTGCCTAGTTCCCTAACTCCCCAACCATCCTTCCTTTGCTAGACCTTGGCTACAGGATTCTGGCTTAGCGAATAGAGTGCTGGACTGGGAGTCGGGAGAGCTGGGTTTTATTCCCAGCTCTGCTGCTGGCCTGTTGAGTGACCGTGGGCCAGTCACTTCACCTCTCCTTGCCTCAGTTTCTCCATTTGTAAACTGGGGAGAATGACACTGCCCTCCTTAGTAAAGTGCTTTAAGACCTACTGATGAAAAGTGCTGTATGAGAGGTAAGGCTTTGCATTAACGTGGCGTGAGGTGGTGCATGACCCGCCTTCTGGCCTGTCTGCAAGTGGGAATTCCAGCCGTGGTGAATAGTAAATAAGGAACGGAGGAGGAAGTGAAAGCAGGCGCCGTGAAGCAATGTGAGTTTTAATGCGTAAGAAGTGGAGTATACAATGTGCAGAATGAAATAATGCAAAGTACAGAGAATACACATTCTGGTTTCTAGTCATATACCAGAGCTACGAAGTCAACTGGCACTTCCCTCTGAGGTAAGTCACTTCACTCAAGATGCTCTTTCTTTGTTTGAGCTGTAGAACTGGGCAATCAAGTCCTGTTTTTTCCACCATTTTAAGCTCCTTGTTTTACCCTCTGTGGGCTTCATATAGGACAAAACCCAATATACACACAGAATTAAAAACAGCTTCTGCACAAAACATCTTCTGTAGCCAAGTTAACAAACAGAAACAAATGGTACGTATTCTTAGAAAGGCTAGAATATACAGGGCAGAATTCTCATGATACTGAGGCTATTTTATGCCCCTCTGGTCCTTGAAGGCATCTTATAGTGAGTGTAAACATAACATATGCCCACCTTTAGGTCCCTAACCTCCTTTACATTGGCAGAGCGGTTGTCAAAGAGCCTTAGTGTAACGAACTCAAGCCCACTGTGTTAATAATAAAAGGAGCAAGTAGCTACTGGTCCATTAGAGTAAATAGTCATAAATCTAAGGTAAAGGATAGCATGGTAAAGAGCGATGGCCCTGTTCTTCAGCAGCACTAATCACCCACCGCTCTCGTTGGCTTCAACTGGCGTTGTGGGAGCTCAGCATGTCTGAAGGCCATGCCCATAAACTCAGCTGTGAATCTGTGTCTAGCTTTTTCATTTCCTGGTTGGCTTTTGTTCTGTGGCCGTTGCTTCTGGGTTTAGCATGGCCCACAGTTTCCGTAGCCCCACGTGTCGGGCCATTGGGGAGCATAAGGGTATGGGTATTTTGGAAAAGATGGCACATACGTTGGGCCACATGCTTGAGGGTATCCACCATGCACATATGGTGGAGCGCATGGATTCCATCTCTCGGGGAATGGCTGAGGGTGTATTAAACCATACGGCTCATGATACCTCGTGACACATGGCGTCGAGTATTTCACGCCCACTGGCTCAGAGAATTTGGGGATATACTGCGCTGGGTGTCTCTGGGCATGTGGCTCAAAACACTTGGTAGCACATGGGACCGAGGGCTTTGCAGCACATGGGTCTCTGCACTTGGTAGTGCATGGTGCTGGGTGTTTCACAGCACATGGCTCTGCGCACTTGGTAACATGTGGAGCTGGGCCTTTAACCACGCAGGGTTCGGCAGGCGGCACGAGGTGCGTGGTTGAGTAGGGCGTGTAGTTCCGTTGCTTGTACTGGTATGCAAAGTAAGACATCTTCCTGTGGAGTAGGTCAACCTGAAATGCACCGGAAGGAAGAGAGTACGACACAACAGAACCAATAGGTTAAGAGGCTTCAAGCTCAGATCCTATGTTGGAGGTCATGTAAGAACCTAGGTGGGTAGACAGACTGGTATGTATGACCGTGATTAAATAGATATGGAAGGAAGGGAGATAGGGAGGTAGGTGAAGGGCAAAGAGAGCATTTAAGGGCACAATTATATCTGTAAAGCCTTCATTGATGATCTTTCCTAGAGATCACCACTGCTTGCACCATCTCCAACCCTCTGCCTCTCTTATCCTCCCACTTTGTTTCTTGAGCCTGCTCTTTTGCAACTCCTAATCCTTCATAGCTTCAGCCACTGATAAACATGTTACCTACTACTTGCATGGCAACATACTTGTTCACTGCTTTGTGGAGTCATTAGTCCTTACAACCAAGGTGTCCAGTAGCTAGTTATTATCCCTGTTTTATAAAGGGGGAAACTGAGGCCCAGAAGCATCTTGCCTAGCGTTACTTAGTGAGCCAGTGGGAGAACTGAGACTAAAACCCAGGCACGTAGAGTTGTTTAGTGCTACTAGGTATAATTTGCATCCCAGCAGTGCCTAAAGTTTCCAATTGAGAGGCAGTGTTGACTAATGGCTAGAACACTGGACCCCATTAAAGACCTAGGTTCCATTCCCATTCCATTCCATTCCATGCCACTAGGCTGCTGGGGACTGTAATTATCACTTCACTGCTTCCTGCCTCAGTTTCACCATCCATAAAATGGGCATAATGATCTAGACCTCCTTGTAAAGTGCTTTGAGATCTACTGATGAAAAGAGCTATAGACAAGTTGGGTGTTATTACTATGCTGAGCACTGTACACACACACACACAGTAAGAGAAGGTCCTGGCTTTGAATAATTTACATTCTAAATAGACAAAACAAGGGAAAATGTATCCCCAATTTGCACATGAGGCATAGGGAAATTAAGGGCCAGATTATTACTCCAGAAGAGCATATTGAGCAGTGAGTTTCTTGGAAAATCTGGCCCCAGTTGATTTGCCCAAGGACATCATGAAATCTTAGCAGAGGCAAGAACTGAACTCAGATTTCCTGTCCCACTCCAGTTCTTCAACTCCCAGGTCCTTGTTTCATTGTTATTGTACCGTGCTATATTGCCTTGTCTTTTAGTCTCTCTTCTGTTCTGTCCTGCAATGCCGTAGAATTGTTCTAATAAAGCCACAGAAGAAAGCAAAGGCCAACAAGTGGGTTAAAGAAGTGAACACTCAATCTAGAATATTTCTATCATGGACAGCTGGTATTTTCTTATTAGCATGTGGTGGTGACAATTTTAATAATGCTACTTTCCTAATTCAAATTTAACCTCTGCTTGCAAACCAGTTCTGTCCAGCATCACAGAGCAGCACTTTGGTTTCCAGATCTTACTTCATTAGCAAATATTGCTGTCTTGTAACAGAAGATATTCTCTTGTGAAAACAAAACCCAAATGGGCCAGATCATCTCTGCGCAATACCAACTCCTTCAAAAGAAGACACAGGAACCAATACGTGGGGAGTTTTATGGGAGTTTGGCTCTCAAATCCCATAGACAATCCCAGCCCTTTACCTTTCAGAAAATAACAGTAAAGTTACACTTTGGTAGTTAGATATGAAATCTGAGCTTCCTATCCTTGTAGTTGGGGAGGGGCTCGGGCCATATTCATAGCTGGTGTAAACTTGTGTAAGTCTATTGAACTCAGCTAAGTATCTGGCCAGACAGATATTCAAAAATTCACTAAATAAGACTCTCCAGCATAAAAGTTACCAGGGCTGAGATTTTTCAAAGCTGGCTAAGGGATTTGGGTGCCCAATTTTCTAAGTAAAAGTAATGGGAACTGGGTGTCCTAAATACTGAAAATTCTAGCCTTAACTTCTAATGCCCGAATCCACCAGTGACCAAAACTGAATAACTACAAAAAAAGGCTCCTATGGAAAGAAATCCCTTCACATTCTAAGAGTCAGGAGTATTTGGCAAGATTCAGTTAAGGTTAAAACTGTTTAGAAAAAGGGATATTCTGATACTTACGAAGAGCTTGAGTCAAATCAGACTTGCCCAGTGAACGGCAGAGAATAAGTCGACAGAAGTGCTTAAAAGAGCTCTCAGTTGCGAGTTCTTTTATATGATTTCTCAGGCTGCTGGCAGGATGAGAGACATCATCTTTGCATAAGGTCCTAATTAATTACTAAATTAAATTTTTTTATAGGCATAACTATTCCATTTGATGCTGTTCTTTTACTGTGGTTATTAGTTATTAGTCTGTTTTCCACCCCAGTGTGCATGACACACCCTGCAGCTTCCTTTCATTTGAAAACTTTATTGGCCAATGATACCTGGTATCATTCCACTGACCATGCTGGAGTTACTGCAGGAACAAATCTTGCTCCATGTTTTAGATCTTCGTTTCGCAAATTAATAATAGAAAAGTGGCTCAGAAAGGTATATGGATAGCGCAATCCGATGTCATGCAAGATTCCATTTTGGTCCTTTTAATCCTGGCTTGTAACTAGTTGGGAGTATTGGGGAATTTACCTTTGCAGTTCTGGGGCAGATGGGAGTCTTTGCATGCTTACCATTCCCACCCCTCAACAACTCATTCTGCATGAGATCCAATGATCATTAAAGTCAACGGGAGTCTTTCCATTGACTTCAATGTGGGCTTCAATTCAAGCCCTTGGAGTTGAAATTCACTCCTGAAATGAAGGCCAACACAATGCCTATGTCCTATTTAAGAACCCACACAGGAAAATAAGACATAAACACCATATTGCCAGTGGGTGAATGCTTTTCACAAAGTGATTGCTCTATATCTGACCTCTCAGTCCTCATCCTCAAAGGAAACCTGCACAATGCCTTCAAAAGACAAGCTTGGGATCTTACATTCATAACTTTGCTAGACACTAAAAATCACGGTCTTTATAAAAACACTGGATTTATGGCTTATTCCAACAATCTGTAACCCACTAACCCCCCTTCTTTGTCCAATGACTACAGGGGTGTAAATGGGCCACTTCACCTTGAATTGTCCCGTAGAATATGTGCTAATTAGTTATGCTGAACAATCTATCACAGCTAAATACACGATGGGCCATTCCTGGTACCTTTCCCAGACCTGAAGAAGAGCTCTGTGTCGCTCGAAAGCTTGTCTCTTTCACCAACAGAAATTGGTCCAATAAAAAGACATTGGTCCTCACCCACCATTGATATCCTGGGACCAACAGGGCTACCACAACACTGCATTAACAAAGTGCTGTCCTCCTCCATCTAACACAGGAGGAGGCTGAAGAGGAGCGGTTATTGCTTTATACAAGATCATTCAAGAAGTCTGTGGCCAAACCCAAGGCCAAGGGTTTCAAAAGTGACTGATGGCTTTTGGTGTCTAGCTTGAATCACCTCAAAGGAGCCTGATTTTTCAGAAAGTCCCGAGCACCTGCCCTCTGAAGATCAGGACTCCTTAAAGTGTTGCAAGTTGATTGCCCATGATCGCTAATCACTTTCGAAAATCATGGCCTTCCGTTCTCTAAGTTTATGCCTTAATCCCCAGCCATCCTTTCTCCTCCTGCCTTTACATAGCAGAGCGAAATCTGGAGGGAAGCAGGAGATGATTGAAGGTCCAGGGAGCTATAAGCTGTAGGCAGGTCAGCCTGCAAAACAGAAGTGCACACATGCCTGAGTGAGACAGAGGCTGTTTTTTACACCCCAGAAAAGGGAGAGAACAGGTCACTGACAGATGGAACATCCTCGGGAAACAGAATTTGAAATACACCCAGATCCTCAGCTGGTATAAATCAGCGTACAGTGATTGAAGTTGATGCAGCTGTGCTGATTCACACCAGCACAAGATCAGGCCTCAACTTTTTTAAAGTTTCTGCCTAATGAAAATCAAATTGCCCCAAATTCTGAGGCTGTAAATCATGAGCTGATCTGGGGAGTGACGTGAGACTTTGACACAACTCTTTTTTTGAAGTGACTCTAATATTCGATCCATGAGTAACGTTACTCCAGTAACAAGCTACTAACATTATAATAATACACTTTGCACACATGAAAAGGCCATGAATGTCTGCGAAGAGACTTGAAATCCTTTGTTCCTATGATACCTCAGAATAGCCCTCAGGACTGTATTCTTATAAAAAGACACACACCAAGGTGAATGTCATACAGGGAGGGAGAGACAAAGCCAGAAACAGGACCCAGGTGTCTGAAGTTCTTTGTTCCGGCCCTCAGTGCTGCCCCATATTACACTGTATTACAAGAGGCCATTAGCAACATGTATTATTAAATAATGCTTAACATCCTTGGCTTCCAAATGTGTCACTAACATGAGAGGAGTTGTTAGAGATGCTTGTTTGGCTGTTTCTTGTGAAATTCTGAATGACTCAAATTTGCTGGGTGCATCTTTTGCCTAAACAATGCCATACGAGAAAATGCCCAGGGCTCCTGTAGCTTTGTCTTCTTTGGTTACACATGAGGAAAATGATTCTCCCCAAGAGAGAGCAAGGTCTGTTTTTCATGGTGGTGTTGCTTGGGTAATCTCAATACATAGCCTGGAATTTTGGTAATATGATCGGAGTCTCGCTGAATGGCTTATTTTCTATTCTACATCGAAAAGGGCTTAGAAGAGGTTCCGAAATCGGTGACAATAATGATTTGGAAAAACTCTCATAGGAAACGATTGGGATTGGTTACCTTCGAAATAATAGAACACTAATGTTTTAATACAGTCGTGCCCAACCCTATTATACAGCAAGGCCACGTAAGCCTAAACCCAACCTTGTGTGGGCCAAATAAATTCTACTTATTTTAATAAGATTTAAAGTCACCCTTATTGATTTATATTTTAAGTTCAGCTTGTTTTGTTATGTATTTAGACAGGTTGTTTCTATGTACAGTATTGTCTATTTACACACTTATGTAAACTAAAATGATGTAAACATAACAACAGAATGC